CCCCTCCCCCCCCTGCATGGTACTCATTTGGCTTTCAGGCAGCTTGAGGAGAGCTGAAGGGGAGTTAATGAGTTCAAGCTGAAGGGAAGTATCTCGTAACCTTTATCATCATTTTATAAAGACAACGTGAAGGGGGGGGCAGGAAAAGGTACTGGTCATGGTTTTGATCTGTGACCATGCAGGGTAGGTGGGAATAAACAGGAGAGTATGGGAAACAGATTGAGTCACTGACCTTACTGTGTGTAAGACTGTTGTTCAATTTCATATTGTGAACCCCGCACATAACTGTGTATATTTTGCACATTTACTGTATGTACAAAACTACCTCTTTAAAATCTGCACAGTGCTCCACTATATCCCAATACTTCACATATTTTATTTTATTTTTCAAAGTATTTTGCCAAATGATTCTGTAGTTTTTTTGTAAATGTATATTTTATGTAAATATTTCTCTTTATATTTGAATGTTATAATAGTTATTAAAATAGTTTATGTAATAGTTGTATACCCTTCTTACAGTTTATCTTCTGTTACTTTGTTTATACAGTATATGCACCATACACACCAAAGGAAATTCCTCGTATGTTTAAACCTACTTATCAATAAACCTGTTTCTGATTCTGATTAGAAATCTACTCTAACAAATACTTGTATACTGTTTCAGATAGCTGGATTCATAGAAATACATCGTTTCCTAAGCTCCAAGTAAAACATCTCTTATTTTATGTCTTTTCTCTCTTTTGCCCAAAACATTTAACTAGATTAATTACTGTAGTCAAACCCCAAATCTCTTTCCAAAAATGTTTCTTGTGGAAAGGCTTTTAAGAGGCAAAACATCTGGCAATGTGACAGTGACATCAACCCTGCAATGAAATGTAATTGCATAAACTGTAGTTGCTGATGCTCTGTGGTTATTTACCTTAGAGCAGCTGTCTTCACTCTTTGTTTACCTCTGCTGTTGCACATTGTGACTCTAGATGTGTATCTTTGCTGTTTACCAGTCACAGACCTCCAGTTTTCCCAGACTCTTCTTGGTCGACCTGTGCCCTTCGCTACAGCTGGAGATTGTTATAGTGCAGCCAAGTGTCCACAGGTTGGTGAAGTATTTTACATTGTGCCTGAATAGAAAAGGTTTCATTTGGGTTGTATGTTGCCATATGCTTGTGTTGTGGCCTTGAAGCCAAAGAAAAATACATTTACTACGCATGTACTGCTATAAGGCTTTGGACCTGTTGGGTCCCTTTTCCAGCTAACAACTTCCAAATACTTTACTTAGGACCACCCATTTTTCAGTCATTGCCACAAATCTTATCCGAAAACATAAATGTTCTTGATCTTCTCTGTTAAATAAAAGCTCAGAAATAAATCAGATTTGTGTTTCCAGGGCCAGTTCAGCATTAATCTGATCGGAACTGGTCTCAAAGTGGCTGAGGCCACCAAGTGGACATCACAGGGCAACTATGTGTCCGTCAAAGTCCACAGATCTGAGGTAAGAAGTGATTTATAAAATGGTTTCTTATGTATGCCGTGTGGCTCTTAGGGAAAGTATAATGATATGGATGTGTGCTTCATGTTGGGACTTGACTTATTGGAATGAAATTGTTGCTCTGAAATGTCATCTGAGTTTCCATGTTGTATTTCCGTCTGATTCACTGAAGAGGAATCCCCAGTGACATTTACGAGGCGTTCATTCTCTGCGTAAAAGGCTGCCCTTTGCCCACTCTTTCCTTTCTCGTTTGTCTTTCTCTGTAGGACGGAGCAAGAATCTACGGCCGCTGCGGTGGCTTCTGTGGGAAGTGCATTCCCCAGGCTCACAACGGCCTACTCCTTCAGGTCCACTGAGGGCCACGCACAGACCAAACCCCTACATCTATCCCGACGACAGGAGCCCGGGAACATTCGATAACAGTGATTTGTTGGACCCTGTCGTCTTCTGGCAGTGTGATGGAGGAGCATTTAACAGCATCTTATAGTAACAGCCCCAGTTCCCAAATGGCAGCTAAAGCATACAAGACACTACGTACTGTGCAGTACTAGAGGGACCACCATAAGGCCCTTCATCCAAACTGATCACCCTGAAGAAGAGCATGCTAACCAAGTTGCAATGGCTACAAAACATGCCTGCGCTTCGGAACCTAAAATGCTTGTTTCTTACACAGGTATGCATCGTACAAAGGGATACAAAACTTTAAATCACTGGGAAAACAACATTTAAAACACAGAACACTTCAAGGAAGAACTTCTCATCTTCTTCTCCCTCTCAAAACTCTGTTTCTTGCAGTTATTCTGTGAAGTGAAGCGTATTCTTTAAAGAAAATGTCTGGTAAAAAACGTTCTAGTATTTCGTCATGAAGTGTTTTTACAGCTACACTGCAAGCCTTCAGTTACCAGCAATGGTTGAGAAAGTGTACAAATCCATACGCTTTATGTATCTAAGAATCGTTGCAATCTTCTGGTGACAAAGAAGTTTTACAGACAGACACTGAAATAATATGTGAGGGCTGAGTGTAATATGTTCTACTGAGTGAAATCATGATGAAAAATAAGAAATACAAAAACACTGTAATGTTTTTAGACTACTGAAAGAGCTACACTAGAGATTATCTTGGCCTTACGACACGTTTAAAGGAATATTCTGGAATGTTATCAAATTAACTTTATGGTCGAGAGTTAGATGAAAAGATTGATACCACTTGCATGTCATTAGATTAGTGACAATCTTCTCATTTTACTCTGGTGAAGTGTATTTCCCAAATTGTCAAACTATTGCTTTGGAGCTGAAGACTTAACAAAAGAGTAAGCTAGCAACTAACTTCTGATGTGACCTGCCTTGTATCAAAGGTCAAACTGAGGAGCCTTGAGATCAACTATAGATCATTTTAGGTTTTAATGTTGTGTATTACTAAAGTCTGTCTGCTGTCATCTGTTGTCGGGTATTTCACAAAACGACTTTAACCTGCAAACACAGTCCCTGACTTCTATAGAGAGAGATCAACAAGTGTTTTATCTAGTGTTTAAGTACAGTGTAAATCCTTTCTCTGGCTTTTTTAAACCAAGGGGATTGTTTTATTTGAAATGTTTGTGTTTTTCTTTAACTACGCTACACAGACGAGTTCTCATCTGTAACACCATTAAACAGTATCAGTGTGATGTCTCACCTCACACCCTCCGTTGGGCCTACTGTAGGTACCTGCAAACCCTACCTCTCACAAACATCCATACTCGACTGAGATATGTGTTGTAATATATTTATGTTTGACCATATTTATTCTGTAATGACTGTAGATACGTTTTATGTTTTAAGGTACAATGACTACTACCAACGGAGGAGCCATTGTCTGATGTGTTTGGTCCTTTGTCTGCTTTGCTTAAAGAGGTATTAGCCTACTACTATTTGTAGTGTATAACCACTAACCTTAAATGAGGATCTTTCGAATGGTGCTTTTCAACTACTGGAATTACCTGGCTTTTGGCTGCAAATGCATGTACTGTAATGGTTCTCATTAATATAGCTGAAAATCTAGCAGGAAGGTATCCAGATATATAAAATATATCAGACTGCACGAGAAAATCTGCCCATAACTCATTATGAATGACTTTCACCATGACTACTACAGCGATCAAGTAACCTAACATGATGGTACTCCGATGTTAAGCTTTAACCAAAGTTAGAAGATAGACGCAGATTTTTTTTTTCTCTGACATAATGCAGCTTCTTTTGATTTAAGGAACAGCTGAATAAGTAAAAGTAAAAAAATAAGTCAATGAGCAGCTAGAAAACCTTTGGCCATCATTCATTTTTATGATGGGCAATTGTTCTATGAGGTCTGTATCAGAAATGTAAAGAATACTTGATGCACTATGTGCCATACATTTTGTAGAAATGTAATCCTGTTTTTTTTTGTAATAACCGTTAAGATTTGTAACTTATGATATATATTATGTATTTTTAATATTCATACTTGAATTGTAAACAGTGTGCTAAATATTGAATGGGCATTGGTACTGAATAGAGAAACAGTGTGCTTGTTTGCTCTGCTTTATCCAAAGATGTTTTTAAAATCATGTGTACCTATACAGTATGTGTGTAGCCTGTATAAAAGAAATGAATGATTGATTCTGGTGCTATGCTTACTAATCATACCTATACTGTAAGTCTTGCTACTATACTAACATGTTAAAAAATAAGTAATAATAAAAAAAATCACAAGTCCATTTCGCTTTATTTATAGCTATGGCTTGCTTGTCTTGCTAGGGATGGCTAATATTTAAATATGTCTCAACAAGAATGAATCCAATTTAATGGACAAACTGACCTTCATGATCCCCAGAGGAGTCCAATGTACTCTGATGAGCCATTAGCATTAATCTGCACCAACGTAAGGTTTTGTTTTTTTGAAAAATATATTAGCAAGTACAGGCTGCCAATGTCATACATTTTTTTTCTTCATTGCGCACCATCATCAGGTTACATTTGAATTTGTATCACACTTTGGTTTATGGCCAAATATCTGCACATTAGAATCTTCCTCCGCTGTAATTTGTGTTTTTCACTCATTTGCAAATATGTGGACAGTAACCTGAATATTGCACACATTGTACAGGCTAAACATGCATTTGTCTGGATCAGCACTGTGTCTACAGTAGGTACACTCTTAAATATCAGCATGGCTGCCAACTCTACATCTAAACATTAAACATTCCCTCAACTTATACTTCACGAACTATAACAACAAAATGTGCTTGATTAACAAGCTGCGCCTGATATAGTTGTTTACACACAAAATAAATCCTCATTAAAAAACATATTTTTGAAATATACAAGAGACATAACATTAAATGACACGTCTACGTCTTAATCATTTCTTTGAGTCTGGAAATGTTTGTAAGTTACATATCAGACATCTGGCTTTCAAACCATGCTTGTACGTGTATTTCTAAAACATACTTACGGGTAAACACAGACGTTTTCCTCTTATGCTGAATTAAAAACAGCTCTTAAGTGTCAAACTCTGCACATACATCATTCTGGGAGGTCAAACAACCAAGTGACGTGACAGTAACGAAAACACATTTTTAAACGGAACAGGACGTATTTCCATAACATGACTTTCTAGAGTTCAGTTCCACTTATGGGACACATAAACAGAGCAAATGCCTTTAAATCAATTTCTCACTGAGGTACATATATTCTTGAGTTCTGGAAACAGCTGAAGCTGTCAACTGCCCGATGACTAATCAAATTGTTATGTCAAATCAACGAGTGAGGTAAATTCCCAGTAAGCTTTGAAAACCACTAAGAGGTGGAAAGTACCATTTTCAAGGAACTATGTCACCAAAATGACTAATAAAGGTGCAGGTACTTCAGCATAAGGCAAACAGTTTATATACAAGCCACTTTTCCAGGGCTCATTGCACAGAGATAACTTTGTACATTAAATGGAAACAGATACTTTGGTCCCTGAAGAACTGCTTTGATTTCTTGCCAGAAGCCTGCTTTGGTTTCTAAAATCTAATCCAAGGATTTAGTGGAGTCCTGAGCACGACAACAAGCCCACTCAAAAGCAGTTTTCTAGTGAAACCAAGCTGTGCGGCTGAGGTCCTTCCACACTTTCCAGGCTGTGGAAAAGGTAAGAGAAAGCTTCCCTGGCCTGTTTGCTGTGAGTGTAAACCAGACATCTTTAATGACTGAGCTGAAAGACACAAACCTGTACAGGGAATCCTCATAAAAGACACTAATGATTGATGTTTACCATGCAGCACAGTCTGCTTTGAGGTAACAGCACAGACATTCCAGTGCAATCTGCAGCTGCAAAATGCACCGAGGAGGTTGAATCCACAAACCACTATTCACCTAATTTGCACTGACACACCGGAGCAACACATGCAAACTCTAAGGCAAATTATGTTTTATCTGAGCTGCACCCGCAGTGTTTCTGTGATCTTGATAGGTTACAATTTAATGTGTGCAATGTATATCATTTAGTTTTTTTTGTTTAAACTGCAAATAAACAACATACAACAGGATAAAACCATACCTGCCTCTTAAAACACATATCCGAGACTAACAGGTTAACATTAAGCAAATCTCCTACTCTACTCTCACCCAATAAATCATGTATTTTGTTTAACTGAGCAAACAGGGACCCCTATTGGTCCAAACACGATATTACAGCCCCTGTCCCTGTTGGGCACATCAGCAAGTGTTTTTTTTTTTGTCCATTTGTTTAATAATTGACTTCCAGTATGTTTCAGTTTAGCAGTTGATTGTCAAAAATCGTTTTACAAACAAAAGCTTGTTTAATTAGCTTGTTTTACAATTTTTTTATAGCATCATAATATGTCGAATGGGGTCCACCCCTACTGTGTGTGTGTTTGATGTTTTTATAGGTTTGAAGATAGTATGACTCGGATGTTGATACATCAGCACGTTGTTGTGCAAATACTGAAGGTTTGCCTCATTATGTGTTCTTAGCAGGGACGGACGGGGCCCGTTAAAATGCAGGAAAAGTAAGCTTTTTCTGCAGTCATTTAAACATTCTAGATACAAAAA